GCTCCGCCTGCGCAAGGCCCTCTATGGTTTGCGGCAGGCACCGAGGGCGTGGAATGCCAAGATGGATTCCACGCTAAAGGGAATGGGCTTCGAGCAAAGCCCGCATGAGGCGGCCATCTATCGACGGGGCAGTGGAGGAAATGCTCTGCTGGTGGGTGTCTACGTCGACGACTTGGTGATCACCGGCACGGGATGCGGAGGTGGCGGCATTCAAGGAAGAGATGAAGGCTACCTTCCAGATGAGTGACCTGGGGCTTCTCTCCTACCTGGGAATTGAGGTGCACCAGGATGACTCCGGGATCACGCTTCGACAGACCGCCTACGCCAAGCGCGTCGTTGAGCTAGCTGGGCTCACCGACTGCAACCCAGCTCTCACTCCGATGGAGGAGAGGCTGAAGCTGAGCCGCGACAGCACGGCGGAGGAGGTGGACGCTACACAGTACCGGCGTCTTGTGGGGAGCCTTCGCTACCTTGCCCACACACGGCCGGACCTGGCATTCTCCGTCGGCTACGTTAGTCGGTTCATGCAGCGACCGACAACGGAGCACCAGCAGGCTGTGAAGAGGATCATCCGCTACGTTGCGGGGACTCTCGACCACGGCCTCTACTACCCTAGGTGCCCTGGGGCGACACACTTAGTCGGGTACAGCGACAGCGACCACGCCGGCGACATCGACACCAGCAAGAGCACAAGCGGGATCCTCTTCTTCCTCGGCAAGTGCCTCGTTAGCTGGCAGTCGGTCAAGCAGCAGGTGGTGGCCCTGTCCAGCTGCGAGGCCGAGTACATAGCGGCCTCCACCGCTTCGACTCAGGCGCTCTGGCTCGCTCGACTGCTTGGTGATCTCCTTGGCAGAGACGCTAGAGCGGTGGAGCTCAGGGTGGACAGCAAGTCCGCTTTGGCCTTGGCAAAGAACCCCGTCTTCCATGAACGCAACAAGCACATCCGGGTGAGGTACCACTTCATCCGAGGCTGTTTTGAGGAGGGGAGCATCAAGGCGAGCTACATCAACACCAAGGACCAGCTTGCGGACCTGCTCACCAAGCTCCTTGGGAGGATCAAGTTCCTTGAGCTCTGCTCCAGGACCGGGATGGTTCAACTTTCCCACAAGACGACGCGCAAGACTTAGAGGGAGAATGATGGGATAAGTCTGTGGTCATTGTGGGGCTGCAGCAGTCTTTGTGGGGCTGCAACAGCATGGTGGTCTTGCTGCCCAGCATCCTTGACTGGAGGACAGCAAGGACTGGAGGACAGCAGCATTTTGACTGGACAGCATCTTAGAGGTATTTTAGGACAGCATCTTAGAGGATAGCATATTAGGATCTTAGACTAGCATCTTAGACTAGCATCTTGCATCTGCTTGGCTGGCTAGCAGCCTATAAATATGTATCCCCAACCCCTCAGGTTGGCATGGCATTGAGAAATAAACCAGAAAATTGTCCCAACTCCTAGTGTCATTCTTTCTCGATGAGAGTAAGAATTCTGCTACTACTAAGAGTGAGAATTCAGCGACTAACATCACGTGTGGGTTGTGTGGACCTCCAGAGTTGGCTGTGGCAGCGAGAGCACGGCACCCGCCCGGGCTGGTGCAGCCAGAGCCGGCGGTGGTGTGGAGGGCGGTGCTGGCGACCGTCTTTTCGTCATTGGCGAGACGGAGCTCCTTTAGGGCCAGCATGTCATGGGCCCTGGCGAATGTGGGAAGGACAGCGGAGTTGGCGATGTCGTCGGCGGTGTTGGAGAAGCGAGGATTGAGGCCACGCAGAAGGGTGAGGACGAGCTGCGAGTCCTGGACAAGATCGCCGACGTCACGAAGAGCGGTGGCCTTGATCTTCAGCTGCTGGCAGTACGCCGATATGGTGCTGTCACCTTGCACCATGGAGTGAAATTCGTTGAGGAGGAAGATGGCGCGTGGCTCCCGGTTGGCGCGGAAGATTCCTTCAATGGTCACCCACAGATCACGGGCGGTGGGATCGGCACCGTCCATGGCGAGGTCGAGAACGGAGTCGTCGACGGAGCCGGAGATCTTGCCCCGGACGCAGCACTCCGCGGCATCCCACTGAGGATCATCAGGATGAGGGGGAGCAGAGCCATCGATGTGCGAGCGAAGGTCGAACTTGCCGCACAGCGACTTGAAGAAGAACGCCCACTTGAGTAGTTGGATTGCAGGTCCAGCGTGAATGGGATGTGGGACTTGACATTGACTGTGGCGTAGTTGTGAGCCATGATCGGGGCAGCAGCGCCGGCGCTCATGGCAGCCATGGTTGGAGTGCCTGTCGCGGGCAGAGTGCCGACACTGGTGGCCGAGGAGGAGGAGGCCATCGGAGATGAGAGAGGGAGTAGAACAGCCGGTGTGGGTGGACGGGCGCGAGGGAGACATGCGCGTTGGGCTGCTGCGCGAGCAGGAAGGGTCGCGCGTGGGGAAGGTGCGATTAGGGAGAGTCGCATGGGGTGAAAGGACAGGAAAATAGGATCTGATAGGCTGATACCATGTAGAGACACACCTCACACCCAATATGGGGGGGTGACCTTCATATATATAGCCAATATGGCTGGGTATACAAGGAATACAATCAAGTATACATAGCAGGTGCTAATCATAGCTAATCACACATAGACTTGCCTAATAGTGATATAACAGGATGTACCATCTGCTGTCTAAATAGAAGCACCATCGGCAACAGGCTTGCAGGCAACAAGCTGAGACTGATCAGATGTGACATGGAAAGAAGCCCCGGAATCAAGCACCCAAGACGAAGAGGCAGAACCAGCAGCAGCAGCAGCAACTGACACAGATCCTCTAGGAGTGGAAACTGTACCACGACCCCTAGTGGTGCGAGCAGCGCGACGAGCACGGAATTCAGCCAATTTCTCCGGGTGATGCAAGAAACAATTATTTAGAGTATGACCAGTTTTGCCACAATGCGGACAAGGCTCCAGAGAGGCACCCTTTGGTGTACTGAACTTCTGAGAAGCAGCCAACACACTATGAGACACATGCATGGAAGAGGTCAGAGATCGGAGACGTCTCTTCAGCAAGCAAATCTGATAGTGCCTTTGTCATGGTTAGAGTGGAAGAATCATGAAGCAACCGAGTACGTATGGAATCAAATTCTGCTCTAACACCCATGACAAAACGATAAGTAAGGAACTTTTCAATAAATTTGTGGGCTGGACAATCAGCAGCTGTACACGCAGGCACCATAGAGGTCAAGGATCCCATCAGACGACCAAAAGTTGAGTAGTACTCATCAACAGACATGTCTTGCTGCTCAATAACATGACTTTGCTGCATAAGAGTGTGCAAAAGAGCACCACTGTCCTGAACATAGCGACCCTTCAAGCATGACCAGATAGCCTTGGCTGTTTTGCACTTAAACAGACTCATAATCATGGATTGCTTAGTACTGTTGACCATGGCAGCCATCACCTTGCCATCATTGATCTGCCAAGTTTTGACATCAGCAGCATTACTCTGATCTTGCTGAAGCGCAGGAGGATCATCAGCGAGATGAAAAAGGAGGCCATGACCCCTTCAAGCAGTTTCCACACAAAATGCCCACTCCGGGTAATTCTGACCATCAAGGGTAATATTGATAACAATAGTGTTGAGCTGAGACATGACTGAAAACGTCTAGCAGCTGACCAACAGGGAGAAAAATATGTTACCACTGTGCTGCGGAAGCAGAGGATGAAGCAGCGGGAGATGGTCTCTGCGGAAGCCAGAAGTCCGAGAGAAAGCCCCTGACATACACGGGAAAGGTAGGGGCAATGGGCACAGACCCCCGGATCACCCCCGCGCTCACACCTCACTCTTCTTCCTCGACTGATCCAACGAGTTCAACGATTGGGGAGTTGAAATGATAGCGGATTTGCTCTTTTCTTGTTTTTATAAAATAGAAACTAAATCTTCTCGGTCCATATCCTTGGAAAAGCGACTGATGGTGAAAGAGGATGAAACCAGTTGCAACACGAGTGCAAATCTCCACGAGTAGACGTCGCCCAGATGGAGGAGCCGAGCAGACGATGCCCAGATGAAGGAGCCGCTGCGGAAACAGAGGAGCAGACGACGGCCAGATGGAGAAGCCGAGCAGACGACGCCTAGATGGAGGAGCCGCTGCCTGAGGAAGCAGAGGATGATGGACGAACGGCTGAGCCCTCCCCAGACGGAAGCAGAGGAGACAGGTGAACGGCTGTGAACGTCGGACGGGCGTTCGCTACGAGCGGAGGCGACCCCGATGGACGGCGCAGACGGGATGTACACGGATGAAGTACGCCCGCGACATCAGACGGGCCGCTCGTCAGGCGCGCTTGCGGGTCGAGGATCGCGCAGATGAATACGGTCGAGGCGAACAGCCCCGCGCGTGATGATTTGACCATGGAGGCGAACGGCGACGGGCCGATCCAGAACAGAGGAGCCACGAGGGGCAGCAAACGACGGCACACGCGAAGGACGTGTGATGGCCGGAAAAAAATGGATCTTGGGTGATTAGGGATCAGATTAGCCCTAATTCGACCCCTAAACCTTGCTTTGTTACCATGTTACTAACCTTTGGAGTTTGAGAAGATAATCACTCCATTAGTGGAGATCACTATATATAGAGAGCCTCATGGGCCATATGGGCCTATATTAGATGGGCCTTCATATACTTAACATACCAAACCCCATGGCTCATTAAAACTTTTAAACCATTGAATTAAGAAACGAGATACTCGCTTTGCCGTTCAATGGAACTATTCATTCTCTCGATGCTGTGAGGTCAGATGCCATTGATCTGGGCTACTTTATTTTGGTGATTATCTTGCAACATGCCTAAAGCTAAGGTATGTATTGTCTCAAGTTGCATTAGGCTTTATCCATCTATCACAAGAGTTGCTTTGTATTCATTTTGTCATAAGTATTTTGCCAATTTTTATACTCAGTTAGACGTCTGCGTTTATGTGACATCAAGTATGTCTAGTTTACTTGATTCAATATTGGCAACTTTCTAATTTCCTGTGGCAGTTGTATTACGGATGATTAGCTTTGGATGTGATTACTGCTGGACAGTTCATTCTTCTCACTTTGATCACAAGGTACTATGTTCCCTAATGACATACCTTTTCTGTACATGTTAATTTTTCAGCATCAGATCTTTAATGTTTGAGAAAGTTGATCTGTCTAGCTTGACATACTTGTTGGACTGTAGTGTATCTGATATCTGACAGAATCTGTATGAAAGTCAGGTTTCAAAACAATGTTTGGAATCGGCCTTATTTTGTAAAGGAATATTTTTTGCTCATAGTTGTCATGGATATCTGCATCTTTATATTTTCTTAACTGTACCTTTGATATAGTCATATGTGTTGATGTACCAGCTTTCATATACACAAAATGCACTATCTTGCTCAATACTGTAGTATACTGACATCAGCACTCTCGGTACAGAAACATATGCAAAGATGTCAGGTTTGTTATTCTGGCAAAACATGCTACTTTGCTTTGCAGGTATTTTTATTCGTCCAATTTTTCTTGTATCTATTTTTGCTTAATGTGCTAAGGTGGTATATGATACACCACTGTTAGTTCTAGACACATATAAGAGGTTGTTCATGAGAACTGGATAATTACATGGGCAAGAACAAAACTAGTATGTTTTTAATCTAGATATGTTAATAATTACTGGGCTAGCCCCTATTATTTTGCTTATCGACTGACTGGCATAGGGATTTGTTTGGGGAGAGGAATAAGGCCTCCCAAGTAAAGATATGTGGAAGAATACTTACTAAGGAATGACTAGTTTCTGCTAACAGGTTGGCCTGTTGGTGAATACATCTTCTAGGTTGTCTGTAAAGTGGGCCGGTGGTCCTGACATTTTTTTTATAGTTTGCACTATGGTATATTATTATATATTTTGTTGATTTTTATTTAGCATCTGTTACTATTTAGCTTAATCAATTCCTTATGAAGATGAACGATATGTCTATATCTGTTTTTCGTTCCGGTGATAGAAGTAATGTCCTTGGCAGGAAAGGGGGCTCAGTGTTGACAGGTACACTTTCCTCACGTATTTATGCTACTTGACATACGCTCCACTCTACATTGCTGGTCCTATTGTTGGATACAATGCCTTTGCTGCTCAGGTTGTTTTTTTTTTCCCTATAGGTATTTTTTTTTATTGAATCTGTTTTGTTATCAAGGTGAAAGCAGAAGCAACACTTTAAAATGATATTTCATGTATGAGTTATGCTTTAAGAAATGAACACCATTTTTCCATGATGAACATATTCTTAGTTTGTATTGTCAAATTGCTTTATTAAAAAATGGTGTAACCAGTGCTGAAAGCTATCAGACAAGGTGGGGTCTGGGGAAGGGAATTTCTAGACTGCCTTACACAGTTACACTTGCATATTTTTGCAAGGAGGTTGTAGTTTTTAGTTTTGTACCATTCAGCATAATGATATCAACTGGTATATGGTATCCAGTAAGTTCCCTTCTATCTATTCTTGCACACACCTTGCCATATAAGCTGTAGAATTTCTAAAATGGAGTTCAAAGGAGATAGGCCAATCTATAGCGTGGCAGATGTTTAGTCTGGAACTCTGGATTTCCTTTCAAGACAAAGAATGAAAGAAATATGGAAGGCATTTTCAATTTGAATTTGGATATGGCTAATTGTAATATACCATTGATCATCCTGAATTCCAGTTTTTATTTAAGTTACCTCATATTTTCTGGGCAACTTAAGAAATTGCATGCAGAGTTTTGGAGAAATTTCAGTTGTGTTTCTAATTCATGTAGCGGTTTAATAGTAGCGTTCCATAGAAATGTCCTAGTAGTTATGCATACTAACCTGTTTGTGATGTAGCGATCTTGCAGTTAGAGGTACCTCAGAAAAATTATCCATTTGCACAAATATCTTTGTATGGCCTGAGGTGGATCTTAAGTTTCCTCATTATGGAAGGCATGACACACCTTTTCCACTACAATGCCTTTGTAGTAAGGTATTTGCTTGTCTTCATACTATGTGGTTAACTTTTTATTCCTTCCTATAATGGCTATATACGATATTCTGAAATTTGAATTAAATATTCTGATGACAGCCGATTATGGCAGAACTTATCCCCATTTGAGATCTTCATCATCAGTTATGGGGTAAGATTATATTGTACATTCTCATAAAAAAGATCACATTATAACTTCATACATATTATATTTCCTGTAAGTGCTCCAGGCCTTACTTCTGAGTTTGTCACTTATGGAATTTTATTTGTCTCCTTTTTAGTCAATGTGAAGCAGTATTTGCATTGTTCCTTATTTGTTAGATTTTGTTAATTGATTACCTGTATATAAGTTTTCTTACACCACCTATCAGAGCATCATGGCTTTTCATTTTTGTATTACTATCTGGGTTGGTTTTATGTCCAACTTCAGTAAGTGTTATACCTCTGTTCTTAGCTAACATTCTGTAGCTGCTTTGTTGGCTTGGTTCATTTGGTTAATAATCAAACTCATTGGCTTCTCAAACTTTTCAATGTAGGTATTAAACTTTATGTGGTTGAAATTCTTTCTTATTTGGCGCTACTTCCGGTTTTGGTCACTGGTACTTCAATATTTAAATTTTGTATTCAGTACTACTCTGACGTACAGTATTATATGTTTATTTGTCGCGAACAATTATTTATGTAATGGATAGCGTCGGTATCGACACAACTTTGTCCTGATCTCAGCATCTGTTTCATGTTATTTTTTGATAAAATTTAAAGCTGAGCAATTCATCTCAGGTTGGAGGAGTTGAGACACCTGAAAACATGCCTAGGTGCATAAATAACTGCCACGATCTGGAGAGTTTTTGGAAAAGCTGGCATGCTTCTTTTAACAGATGGTTGGTTAGGTATGTGTCAGGTGGTTTAAATCTGTTCTGGGCGGCCACATATATCTCCTGGGGACCTTTGTATTTGTCTTGCCTTTTCTTTTTTGGTATTGCTTGAAGTAATATATAGTTCATTTCTGGTTATAGCTTCACAATTCTTTGATTGATGCACATGGAAGCTGCAGCAAATGTTTAGTTTATAGTTTTGCACCCATTTACACCATATTTTTGAATCCCATGCATGAAGCTTGTATATAGAGTTGGTACATGTCTATACTAATAGAGTTAGTACATGGACCAATATACAGACATTGATTAGGCCATGTTGCTTTGTTTGATTGGCCTCTTGGTTATTGCAGGTACTTGTACATTCCTCTTGGTGGTTCTCGAAGAAAGCTACTGAGTATCTGGGTGATATTCACGTTTGTAGCAGTGTGGCATGATTTGGAATGGTAGCTTCTGCAGAACTTTACAGTTGACATGCTTGCTTACTGTGTTGATACATCAGATGTAATGACTTGGATTGTTCTATTCGATTGCCTAAACAGGAAACTCGTTTCATGGGCGTGGTTAACTTGCTTATTTTTTGTTCCAGAGATATTGGTCAAATCTCTGTCCAACAAATTTCAGGTAAAGTTTATTTAGAGAACTGTGATCTGTAGACCTGCTGTGGCTGCAGTTCATCTGCCTCTTAGAAGTTACTACAATCTAGTTTAAAAATTTGTAGAACAGCTACAGCAAGATACTAAATTTACTTAAAACATATCAAGTTGTCTTTGTTTGAGAAAATCGATCCATTTTGTAGTTTTGATTTGAGTCAAGGATGGTATATTTATTGAGGATCCAAATAACTCCATGCCAATATATATGGTATAAAAAAGATTTCAAGATATCCGCTGGAATGATTTTTCTAAGATGCGTGGATATTTCGGCATTCTTGCAAAATGTTTCATGGAAATTTAACAATGCTACCATCTAATATATATTCAATTTTTTTTGCAGGCAAGTAGTTCCCTTGGGATCCTTGTTCATCGTGAATTTAAAGCAATTGCTGGTGCTGTGACAATCAGCTGTCTTATGGTATGTTCTATATCTGTTTCTGCATGCGCAGCTAAAAGAATGCATGCGATTATTACCTGATCTCCTAGTAGCAATAAAAGAATAGAAGATATTGAACAATACATAACCAAGAAAATACTAGGAGACTTCATGAAAATACTAGGAGACTTAATGAAAAATTCAAATATGGCATGATCATTTGGACAATGGCGGGTATAAAGGAAATCCAGCTGTACATTACGTCAGCCATTCATACATTGTTACATGTCAATGCTATTTCTGAGATGTTTCGTGCACAGGTGGCAAACCTTGTCGGTTATGTTGTGGGACCATCTGGGATTAAAGTTCTGATCTCAAAAATGGCTGGGAAGGATGGTGAGTTGCGATTTCACACCCATAACGATTGATGAATTTCATATGTTCTACATTCCCATGGTGAATCAGATGTACATGGTCCAGTGACCTTTGTGGTTAATATACACGTTCCCATTTTGCAGCCATGCCTGCCCTTGCCTTCATATTTACTACCTTCTACGTGGGTGTTAAGGTGATCACTCACTAATCAATTTCGTTCACCATTTGTGCCCTCTTTTACTGATAGCTGGTGACATGATTGCAGCTTATGTTCCACATACGTGATGAACGCACGTGCCAGGGGTGATTGGATGGAGCTGAAGATCATGTCTCCAGTTTTTACCCATATGCTTACACGCTCAAGCAACTAGTTTATCTTTTCTTGTTTGGTCTGTTCTGGACACTTTTAGCAGAGCATCAGCTATTGTAGGCGTTGATTTCTGATTTTGCTGTAGGATAGAGAGGTAAGGAGCTTACTGATCTGCCTGATGAATTGACGACACAAGTCGAGTTGTAACCATGATTTCTATTTGTAACCATGATTTCTATTTGACAATATACCCGCGATGGGTAAGCGTAACTCAATTTTTGAATCTTGAATCCAAAATGAATGTGAATTGTTAAATAACTCGAAAAGAATGTGGAGAGGTAACGTGTGCTGGAGAGGAGCGACAAGCTGGAAGCATCTCCCAATCCTACTGCAAGTCTGCAACAACACACCGCCTCTTGAAACAGTTTAAATCATCTGGTCTGTATTAAACTAGCAAATTTGATTGACGGACTCAAGGTCTTCGGTCTTGGCAGCAACGGAGGTCAAGATTAGGTAAAGTACAAATATGAGGATGACCGCTGTCAAGATTAGGTCAAGTGGTCAAGATTAGGTAAAGTACAAGCATGAGGACGTGAGGCCTGTTCTTAATGAACCCCGTATGGCCTCACCACAGCACATCCAAACAAACTCAGTTCTCACACCATCGCCCAGCCGGCAGAACCAAGCAGATTTGTAAGGCATCGTTGGTCCCTGCTGGCTAGCTTTAGGTTAGTGTTCCTACTGGCATCTCTTCTATAGCTGTTCTCCTGGCTGCAATTCTGTCCTGCGAGTGAACATCCTGCCGGGTATGCATCTATGCTTTGCCTTGCAGATCACAGGTGTACTATCCAAGCAAGCAACCCTTGGTGAAAAACTGAAAATGAATATACATATACTGCTGCCCTTGCTGCTCTTGTGTTACGGAGGAGTTGCTAACATCCATTGCTCGAGAGTTCATGAGAGCAGCCAAGATCTTCGCTCATTGCTGCATTTCAAGCAGGGTGTCACCAGAGATCCATATGGAGTCTTGAGAAACTGGAACACGAGCTTCCACTTCTGCCGGTGGAATGGTGTTAGGTGCACCTCGACGCGACCATACCGTGTCTTGGAACTCAGCCTCCATGGTCTACGTTTGTCAGGCCAAATCAGCTCTTTCCTTGGCAACCTTACTTTTCTTGAGTATCTTGACCTCTCTAAAAATAACTTTGTTGGTCCCTTACCTCTCCTTGGCCGCCTGCAACATCTTCAGTACCTTATCTTGTACGACAACAATTTATCTGGGATCATTCCAGATTCACTTACTAATTGCTCCAACTTGTGTGACGTATTTTTATCTTCGAACTTGCTAGTGGGTTCAGTCACTCCGAAATTAGGCCTACTATCAAATCTACGATGTCTCGATTTGGGTTCAAATCAACTCGAGGGAAGAATTCCTGATGATCTTGGCCAATTGGTGATTTTAGAAGTCTTGAGCCTAGCTGACAATAGGCTTTCAGGTGAAATTCCACATGCCTTCTTTAGTCTATCTTCTCTGCTACAACTTTCGTTGGCTGGAAATGGCTTGTTAGGACAAATTGTTGATACTATTGGATCATAGCAATCATAGATCTAGCCATAGCTTATTCTATTCGGTATAAAAGGGAGACACAGTACATCCTAAGCATGTATAGAACGAACTAGAGGGAGACAGAGAGGGTAGGGAGATGGTGGTGAACCTGACACCGCGGAGGGGAAGGTTCAGCGGACGCCATCGGGTTCGTTGGTGATGTCTGCGTACGGGCAGCGACGGTCGGTGAAGTTCGACGGCGGAGCAGTGCAGCGGTGGAGGAACTTCCTGTCACTGGCTGCGCCCCTCACTTAGATCGGGTTTAAGGTTTGTCGGTGGGAAGGCCGGCTCAGGTCAACCTCGTACCGAGAGCCGCCGGCCCCCACCTCTATTTAATGCGCAGTGTGACGGGCGCCCGCCAGCCATAGATGGACTGGGCGCCCCCGATCAGGGTGCGAGGTCAAGGCCCAAGTGGCCGTTGGGCCACTGTGGTTGGGAGATTAAACCAACATTCTCCCCCTTGATCTCAATTTATACTTTAACTTTAAACTTTGACTTTAATCTCTTTCACTTTTATTTGTTCCATCACAGATTAGTGCATAGAGCATGCTTCATCGTCACGGTCAATCGCCGATAGACTTAACAGCTACAATACACGTCTCTGTTCTGAAACAGATTCTTTAACTTTTGGGCCCTTTATTGAACGGAAAACATAGGCTATACCATAAACCCATGTCGACTGTGTGTTCTCCAAACACACTGGGTTGTAAGCCTTTTGTACGCGGATCCGCAAGCACTTGCTTGTTACTTTTATGTTCAATACTTATAGTATGATTTCGGACTTTCTCCTTTACAACGTATAACTTTAACGTCAATGTGTTTGGCAGCACACTTGACCCGTTGTTATAGGAGCGAACTACTTAAATGGTTATTGCTGTTGTATACCATTATCAATTCCGGGTGTAAGTTCTTTTAACCATTTCGTCTGTCCTTAAGCCTCATAACAAGCTATACTGTGGGTATGCATCTTTGATGACACCACAACTGTTTCTTTGGAGCTTTTCCATAATAAAACTCCAACTGCGAGTGTTAGCTATTATGTGGGTTTCACTAAACATCTCGCCAAAATTTAACATTTGTACCCACAACTATTTGAGAGTACTTATTATTTCTTACTCACCATGAGGCCTATAAATCTTTACACAATTGCAAAACATTCTCAACTCCATTCCAGTGATCTATGTCTAGACTGGACTTCTGCCAAAACATCTCGGATACATGAACTATGTCAGGGTTAGTTCTTACTCATAAGCACTCATTAAGCTTTCAACAGCTAAAGCATATAGGACGTCCTTTCGATCTCACATTGGTTCTTGGAATACTGAAAGTTCCGAAAACTATTACCCTTTGACTATAGGAACAGCCGCAGGTTTATTCACATATATACTTTATTTCTTTAGAATCTTCTCTAAGTATACACTTGAGATAGTTCTAATACCCCTTTTTCTTTTATCTCGGTAAGTTCCAATTCCTAGAACGAATGACGCTTTACCAAGATCATTCTAATTGAAACTTGAGGACAAGAACTGTTTCTTCTCCAACAGTAGATTAACACCACTACTAGCGAGTAAGGTGCTACCCACATGCAGGATTAGGAAAATAAATTTCCCATGTTTAAACTTTGCATAAAAACAATTATCCTCTACATTCTCTTTAAAACCCAAACTTTCTTATTGTACTATCAAACTTTAAGTACCAATGTCTTGAAGTTTGCTTTAATCCATAAATGGATTTCTTCAGGCAACATCCCTTACGTTCTTTTCTTTCCACAACAAAACCTTTTGAGTTATGCCATGTATACTTTTCCATACAAATCCCCGTTGAGAAATGTGTCTTTACATCTTTCTGATGTAACTGTAAATCGTAATGTGCCACTAACACCATTATGATTCTAAAAGAATCCTTGCATGCTCATTATAATCTATTCCTTCTCTTTTAGTAAATCATTTCGCCACAAGTGGCGCTTTATAGCTTTCCATATTCTCTTTGGAGTCACATTTGTCTTGCAGACCCATTACAGCCTACTGTTTTGGCTCTATTGGGAATTTCTTCTAAGTCCCAAACATCGTTGGTATTTATCAATTTTATTTCATCTTCCTTTGCTTCTTGCCATTTAGACGAGTGAACGCCTCTCATGGCTTTTTCAAATGAGGTGGAATTACCCTCCATTTGAATTTCTTTCTTATTCTTTGAGACCTTCTGGGGCCTCGTGGTACTTCTTTCATATGGGGCTTTTGTTACTCTTCATTGCCAAAAGGCAATTGTTCTATAGCCTCCTGTATCACAAGATCCTTATTTACTTATTCATCTTCTTTAAGAGCTAACATCAAGTGTTGTATATGTCATACAACATCAATATGTATTAAGCAATTTGTTGCTCTAAAACACTGTAGTGGATATGTAATCCCACTTCTATTCAAGCCTTTATGTATCTACATACCATGCTCCCCCAGATTACTCTATCTTTTGTAAAGATGGTGTATCTTCAAATTTTTTATTTTGGGTTTAATCTGCTAAAACTCATATGGAGCGTTTAGCACCGCCTTGATAACTCTGAACTCGTCCAGTATGAATACTAGCCGACTATGCTATCTTCCTATTGGAACTGTAAAAGGTCTAGGAATTTAGCTATTTCTTTACTTTAGGGGTATCGATATTATGACCGTCTTACTCCCTCAATGATCACATTCATCTTTTATAGATCACTTTTACCTTTAATGCATACTATGCATTACATTATCTAAAGTATGGGGAAGTATCTTTCTTAATTGTCTTTCTTAATTAATCTCACATTTCTCCCCCTCGAAATGTGGTATGAACTTTTCTACCACAATTTTGAAAACCATTCAGAACTCTTGTTAATGAGGAAACTTTGATTACTTACTTCATCCACATGATTACATCATGCAAACAAAATTCGTATGGGAGTACATTTTCCTCATTTCATTTCAAAACTCAACATAGTTTATTATTATCAATACTTCTACAAGTCACGCTTGCATATCATTCTTATCTTTTGGTTCACATGCAATTTTCTTTTGTTCTTAAACTCATTGAGTACTTAATGACCATGACACAATCAGAGTGTACGGTCAATACTAGGATAGCATAAGAGCTATCCCAAACTTCTCTCCATGTGCGGGATACACTTAGAGTACATGAGTCATCACATCATTCTCCCGCCATGCGGGATAAGTACTATACCAAAACTCTCCGCCATGTAGGATTAGTTAACATAAGTACTATGCCAACTTTACCCCACCATACGGGTATTTTCTCAATCTTTTCCCGCCATGCGGGTACTATCACAAACTTTTTCCGCCATGTGAGATAATTCCCTTGAACGGACATAATTGCAAGGATTGGCTCGTGTTCAATCATCAAATTCAGAAAGAAATCCGAATATTCTTTTAACACACATGTTTAATCCAATGTTGGTCAAATTAAACATGTATATGACTTTTACAACTCTCATAAGTGAAACTAAAAATAAATTCTTCTTCACAGAGAGTACATAAAAGACATTTCTCAATAAAGACTCTCATTGATCTATCTGTTTTCTTGGATCAATATCCTAAAATTCTTTTCTTTTGAAGTCATTCTTTAAAGAGAACACAATCCCTTAAACAATGGCATTCTTTCATACATAACTTGCCCTTAGCCATTTCATCATCTGAGTCACAAGTACCCAGCTCATTTCTCTTACTGCCTTCAAGAATGAAAGCATGGATGTCTTTTGTCTGAAAAAATATTCAACAATAATGCTCATTAAACTTTGAAATCTTTATGTTCTATTCTATATCACCATTGGACAGAAATAGAATAAAACATCATTCTTCTATATTAATTCCATATCACTGTTGGGCAGAAATAGAATTAATGTATAGAACCTCAATAATCTTGAAAACATCGAACTGCTCCTTAGAATTAAATTCTTCCGTTGGTTCGAATTTAATTAGAAGACAATCAACTTCGTTCCAGCGGAAACATGAAAAAATATTTCTCTAGTTTAAGAGCATTCCTTGATCTTTATCTATTTTCTGAAAATTGGTCACTTTGATGCAAAATTCATCAGGGATTTAAACTTTAATCATAAAACCCATAAAATTATAATATTGTTATCATCAACGTTGGTCAGAAAATAACAATACCATAATTTAACTTTAAACTTAAACTCATAAATAAACTTATAATATTGTTATCATCAATGTTGGTCAGAATAATAATAATATTATAATCAATTAAAACATATCCATTTTCAAAATTAAATTCTCCCGTTGGTTCGAATTTAATAATGAAAATAACATCTTTAAATACGCAGCGAAAAGCGTAAATATTCTCATTATTATTTTTCCCAGAAACTTTATAGAATTTTACTTTTCTCTGAACAAAATTGTCGTTGGATCAAAATTGTGCAGAGTTGGATATTGAAATTCATCAATATGTATCAAAAAGCTTCTGTAAAAAATAAAACGAATTCAATTTCACTGTGTTTGGCCATTTCGGCCCATAGCAGCAGAAACGGCCCACGGCCCACGGCCGCACGCGCCCTTCCCGCGCGCTCCCCCGCGCCCAGGCCGCAACCTGGGCCTGGGCCGGGAATTCGGCCTCGTGCCCTCACCCACCTGGGCCACGACGCTGGCCCGTTCAATCTCGGCCGTCCGTTTGCATCCGACGGCCAAGCGGCGAGATCGGGCGAATGAAAACACCGCCGTGGCCGCCCGAGCAGAAAACCCTAGCTCTAGCTCATTCTTTCCGGTCCTCTCTCTCTCTTCGCCTCACTCCGCTCTCTCTTCTCTCTCGTCGCTCTCTCTCCTTTCCTCAGTACAGCAGCAACAGTCACCGAGTGAGGCCAAGAGCAACGACGGTGGAGCGGGAGGCATGGCGCCGTCGCCGGCCCCCTCGCCGGCGTGCGCGCTCCCCAGCGGGTGAGCGCGCCGCCGTCGAGCGGCCTGGCCGCGGTGCCTCTTTGGCGAGAGCCCGCATGAGCCGGCGCCCGAGCCGGTCTTCTTTCCTCTCTCAGCGGTAAGGATAAAGATGGCCACAGCAATGGCGAGGTAGACCACCCCCTTCCCCTTCTTCCCCTTTCGGTTTTGTTCTCGGATTTCATCCGATTTGGGGATTAGGGTTAGGGTTCGCATTATGGGATGGGCTGTTCTTCTTTTTCCCGAATTTATTTCGGGTTTTAGGGTTCAATTTTGGCATGAAACCGAGCCCTCCTTTCTTTAACCTAGTTAGGGTTAGGGTTCATCCGAACCCTCTTCTTTTCTCATTTGCTTAACCCAGTTAGGGTTAGGGTTCATCCGAACCCTCTTCTTTTCTCAGATCTGAAGGGATCGAAGTTAGGGTTCAACCGAACCCTTTGTCGGCTGAAACCCTCTTCTTCTTTCTTAGACCCGCACTGAATCTAAACATCTTAAGCTAGACCTATACCTAAACGAGGCTCTGGTACCATTGTTGATACTATTGGATCATAGGAATCATAGATCTAGCCATAGCTTATTCTATTCGGTATAAAAGGGAGACACAGTACATCCTAAGCATGTATAGAACGAATTAGAGAGAGACAGAGAGGGTAGGGAGATGGTGGTGAACCTGACACTGCGGAGGGGAAGGTTCAGCGGACGCCATCGGGTTCGTTGGTGATGTCTGCGCACGGGCAGCGACGGTCGGTGAAGTTCGACGGTGGCGCAGTGCAGCGGTGGAGGAACTTTCCGTCACTGGCTGCGCCCCTCACTTAGATCGGGTTTAGGGTTTGTCGGTGGGGAGGTCGGCTCAGGTCAACCTCGTGCCGAGAGCTACCGGCCCCCACCTCTATTTAATGCGCGGTATGACAGGGGCCCGCCAGCCATAGATGGACTGGGCGCCCCCGATCAGAGCGCGAGGTCAAGGCCCAAGTGGCCGTTGGGCCACTGTGGTTGGGAGATCAAACCAACACAAATTTCACGGGGCATAGGGAATCTTAGTGCCTTATATTGGTTGGATTTAAGTGAAAACAATTTTAGGGGTACGATTGAAGGATTGACTGACAACCTAACTCAGTTGCAACACCTCGACTTACATGGAAATGAACTAGAGGGTCCCATACCAGCCACCCTGGGAAATCTTCCGCGCCTGAGTGAGTTGTACCTTAACAACAATAATCTTCAAGGTTATATACCCTAGAACATTGAAAGCCTTCAATAACTTGTAATGACCATATATATAGCCACAACAATGTATACAAGGTAACATAAATGGTACTACCTCTCAGGTCAACTAAAATTGCAGCTACAGACAATAATACTGACTTCCTTTTGTAGTGACCTACATAACTTTCAGACAATAAACTGACTAAAATCTGGAGGGAAGTAACATAACTCTGGATAGCAAACTTAAACAGCCGAGTGACCTACATGTTCATTTTATCAGACAAGATTAAGAGGAAAATGCCATATACTTTTGGCCAGTACTAACAGTTAACCCTCCTGATGGATCGAAATTACCACACCTTTTATAGGAATGAAACATTCCAGCATCTTTCGATAGCCAGAGTCTGAACTATTTCACACAGCAACTTGGCTGGCACTCCTCCGACCATCTTTCTTCTCCTTTATTTAACCTATCACCTGTTAATAAGCTTCATCTTTCACACAACAATTAATCTCCAAGGATAAATAACAACCTATCCCAGGTAGGATTCGGATTAGTTTGGTCTGAAACCAGAAACCCAAGTGGAGCGGACATGGACAGCGACAGAGCGTATCAAAGACAAGCTCCTTTCACCAGTCACGCTGGACTGAAGCAAAGAAAATTCGTGCGTCGCAAACGGACGCTGAAGCAGAGTGACAACGGCAGCACAGGTAGACCATACGATTCCCCCCGTCCCCGGTCGGTCCTCCACTTTCGGCGACCGCACGATCTCCACCGCCGCCGCCTGCCGGCTCGTCAGATGGCGCGGTCGGCGCACGACGAGGTGACCGACTCCGGGGCCTTTGACCCGTCGCCGTCTACCTTCCGGAGCTTCGTGTCCAGGGACAGCTCCGCCCGGTTCGCCGCCGCGCCGGGGAGGTACCACCTCTACGTCTCCTACTCCTGCCCCTGGGCGTGCCGGTGCCTCGCCTACCTCAAGCTCAAGGGCCTCGATCACGCCATCGGATTCACCGTAAGAACTCACCAAAGCACGATCTTTGCAGCCCATCTTTGAGAGGATGAATAAAATCCACTGATTTCTTCTCCCTCTCTGCGTGTCTGTGAATTGGATTCTCTAGTCGGTGAAGCCCATCTTTGAGAGGACCAAGGAGACCGATGACCACATGGGGTGGGTGTTCCCTGCCACCGGAGACGAGGAGCCCGGCGCCGAGCCCGACCCTTTCAACGGAGCCAAGAGCATAAGGGAGCTCTACGAGATCGCCAGCGCAAACTACGCCGGGAAACCAAGCGTCCCTGTGAGTAGTGACTGTCAAAGACAGGAGTATTTCTTCTTCTTATTTCTTTCCTGTCCTTTCAACAATTGTGAGCTTAGCTCATGCGTTGTGTCAGCAGGTTCTGTGGGACAAGGAGCTCAAGACCATCGTCAACAACGAGAGCTCCGAGATCATCCAGATGCTCAACACTGAGTTCAACGAGTTCGCCGAGAATCCTGGCCTGGATCTCTACCCTGCTCATTTACAGGCCTCCATAGACGAGATCAATGAGTTGGTGTATGAGGCGATAAACATCGGCGTCTACAAATGTGGCTTTGCAAAGCAGCAGGGGCCATACGATGAGGTAAATTCATTGGTTATCCATGGCTTCTTGGAAATAAAGTTGGCTATGTTTCCTATGTTTGACCAGCACTTCTTCTTTATTTTGTTCTGAATTTGTTTGTAGGCTGTCACGAAACTGTATGAGGCTCTGGACAAATGTGAGGATATTCTAAGCAGGCAACGCTTTCTATGCGGCAATCAACTTACAGAGGCAGATGTTCGTTTGTTTACAACTCTTATAAGATTTGATGAGGTATGTATTTCTTAATAGAAGAAAAAAATATGTAAAATCTAGCATTGGTGTTACATCTTGTTGAGTTTGTAGGTGTAACCCAATGTATCTTCAGTAGTTCATGCTGCCTTAACCTAGTTGAACAAGAGAAACGAAAAGTTATATGGGACGAGTACTAGAGCGATTTAACATTCAGTGGAGTTGCTGATCTCACCCGGCTACTTTTTTTGGTGTTACATCTTTCTTGTGATGCTGGTAGCTGTTAGCATAAATGTTCATCTGGTGTTCTCAACAAGAGTCAGAGCACCAAATGAGTGAGATGCAGAGTGTGAATAATTTGGTGTCAGCCTTAAAGCAATGGCAAAAACCATATGCGACAATTGTCAGACCATATAAACATACTGAATATAAGGGGGCACTTTCTATGCAGATGAACAATACCTGGAGTTTGATATTATTATTTGAAGCTGGATCGTAATTTATTTTTGTTTTCATTACAAGTTATGATTAATTTTTCTCTACAGGTTTACTCTGTTTACTTCAAATGCAACAAGAAGCTTATAAGGGAATATTCAAATCTGTTCAATTACACCAAGGACATCTACCAAATTTCTGGCATTAGCAGCACGGTGAACATGGAGCACATTCGGAAGAGCTACTATGGAGGTCACTCGCCCATAAATCCATACGGGATTATCCCTGTGGGCCCAAACATCGATTATAATGCTCCGCATGATAGAGAGAAGTTCAAGGCTTAGAAGATTTCCTTTGGTGACTTCTGTATGTCATGTTTATTGTTGTAATATTTGGGATCTGTTCTTGTGTTTGGTCATTGCTAGTCTCCATGTGGTAGATATGGCAACTGTGTGCTGATAATAATACTGGGACGTGTATAGAAAGTTTCTTGTGCAATAAATAACTAATTCTTGGTGTCAAGAGTTTTCTATTCATGGATAAATTTCACACTGCATACTCTTGTGTGGAGGGGCCATATATTTGTTCTCACTTATATTCATCTTTTTTTTTGAAGAACCAGCAAGAATTTGTTGTATTTATCTATATCTAATAATAAAGAGGCAAAATTTTATCTCATTATTTTCATCCAGATCCCCTAACTAATTCCGCAAATGTGGAAGTTGTCTCTCTATTAGTCTAGAGCCCTCCTATTTTAGAAATCCTAGATAGTTAGGAATCCTAATTCTAATAGATCTCTGATCATAAATCACTTGAATAGGAATTCTAATCCATATCTATACGTATCTATATATTTCTTTTCTGTTTTTTATCTTTTCCTATCCCTAAATATTAAAATGAGAATATAATATTAAACCGAGAACACAGTTTCTGTTTGAATAGGAATTCTAATCTATATCTATATGTATCTATATATTTCTCTTCTATTTTTTTTTATCTTTTCCTATCCCTCAATATTAAAATGAGAATATAATATTAAACCGAGAACACACTGTACGTCCCGTTTTCGTTTGTGTCGGATTCTGCATCTTTTGTGGTTTTCTTTTCTGTTTTCTCCTATTCAAGTCTGGAACGGATGTTTTTTTTGTTTTGCCTTTCTTTTGTTTTTTCTGTTCAATTCATGTCTTTCTTTTCTGATTTTTTTCTTTTCCGTTTTGTCTCCTTCAAGTCCGGTACGGCCATTTTTTGTTTTCTGTTTTTTTTGTTTATGTCTTTTTCTATCTGAATTTCTCCTTTTTTGTTCGATTTTCCATCACCTTCTCGTTCTTTTTTTTTCTCTTTTTCTCATAAATATAAAAGATTGATAATAAATATAACATATGATCTTTGAGCCTTGACCAAGAGATATTTCCACCCTGAAGTTGTTAATGCTTTTTTATTAGAGACAAAAAATATTTTATTATAACATGGTTCATCCTACGGTCCAAGTAATCAAAGTTTTTGTTATCCAATCTAATATATAAATAAATGTGTCTTCAAATTAGTAGATCTTCAACGCTGGATAAATTGGAGAACAACCAGGGCCTCCGCGTGGATTTGTCTCCTGCTGTTGCCTTTCTCGGTGGAGAGAAAAAGAATCAGAACCGAAGGATTTTCGCAGAGCGCTGTGAATTGAGAATTTGATCGAGCGCTTTGTTTTTCGATTTTTGGAAATCTAAGAAAGATAAAAAGAGATAAATATGTGATCATATATTTGGGTTTCAAATATATCATGTTACTCAAAGAGCAATTTCTTGATCTCGACACTAAGGTTTAACTCAACGCGAGAGTAGTTCGGACACGAGATTTAAAATTAGAGATGACACCGAAAATTCATAGAATACTCAACTATGGTTAATTTTTGCCTTCCCTACTCTGGCATGAATCAGACGTCTGCCCAAACTCACCTGCATCCCCAATAAAATTTCAAATCATTTTATTTTGTACCCGAAAAAATACCAGCCTTGAAGGAGACTGGTACCCTTGATGGAGGTTAGGGCCCCTTTGGTTGAGCTCCGGTTCCAGCCAAAATAGATTCATTTATGGCTTCACCCGTAGAGCTGATTCACTCCGAGAGCTGAAGCACTTAAAACAGCTTCACCTCATGATTGAAAATAGTGAGATACCCACAACACCCTTCTATTTTGTTTTCTTTTACTCCTGAGCCTCCCTACGCTTGTGCTTATTTTTTTTCTTTTTTCCCTTCCTTTTATTTTCTTTTATTTTTCCTCCTACCTTGTCTGTCAGCTTCACCTCGTTGTCACGGCCGTGGCGGCGGTTTGCCTCACCGTCGCTGCCGCGCTCACGCTCCCTCTCGCTGTCGTGGTCTGTGCTTGCACTGTGCCTTGCCGCCCGACCATCACGACTCAGAGGGGCATTTTGGGTCTGGCCCGACAAGGACGGAGGTTGGAGCCAGTGAAGCTCATTTTTTCCGGCTCCATCTCGCCGAAATGGCTCCGGTCAGCGCGATTTGCGGAGATCCACAGGTGAAGCAGTTTACTCGAATGACCGTTTGGTTGGTCGAGCAACAAAACAGCTCCAGGAGCTGCCCCATGAGCCATACCAAACGGCCGCTTTGTGTAGCCACACCTAACCTAGAAGTGCCGTGCTCAAAAGTGCCAACAAAGGAGACAACAATATTCTCCAGCCCCCGCCCTTGAGCACCTACGAGTGCTCCTCAATGCACGTCCGGAGACGACGACGACAACAACAACAACAACAACAACAACAACAACAACAACAACAACAACAACAACAACATAGTCTTTTAGTCCCAAGCAAGTTGGGGTAGACTAGAGTTGAAACCCATCAAGAGCCCCAAGTCACAGTTCAGGCACTTCAATAGCTGCTTTCCAAATACTTCTATTCAAATATAGATCTCTAGATATATCTCAAGCTTTCAAATATTTTTTTATTGCCTCCCCCATATCAATTTTGGTCTTCCTTTACCTCTCCTCATATTATTAGCTTAGCTTAGGACTCCATAATGTACTGGTGCCTCTGGAGGTCTCCTTTGGACATGGCTAAATCACCTCAACCGATGTTAGACAAGCTTTTCTTCAATTGGTGCTACCTCTAGGTGATCATGTATATCATCGTTCTGAACTCGATCCATTCTTGTGTGACCGTAAATTCATAGCAACATACGCATTTCTGCAACACTCAGATGTTGAACATGTCGAATCTTTGTAGGCCAACATTCTGCTCCATACAACATAGCCAGTCTAATCGCCGTTATATAGAACTTGCCTTTTAGCTTTTGTGGTACCCTCTTGTCACATAGAATGCCTGAAGTTTATCGCCACTTGATCCACCATGCTTTGATTCTAAGGCTAACGTCAGCACTAATATCTCCATCTCTCTGTAGCATCGATCCCAGATACCCGAAAGGTATCCTTCTTAGGCACTACTTGACCTTCTAAACTCACATCTCCCTCCTCCTGTACAACTCCTCCAAAGTCGCATCTCATGTATTCGGTTTTAGTTCTGCTCAATCTAAAACCTTTAGACTCAAGGGTCTGCCGCCATAACTCTAGTTTCCTATTTACTCCCGTCTGGCTTTCGTCCACTAACACTACATCATCAGCGAACAACATACACCAAGGGATATCCCCTTGTATGTTCCTGGTAACCTCATCCATTACTAAGGCAAAGAGATACGGGCTTAATGCTGATCCTTGATGAAGTCCAATTTTAATCGAGAAGTAATCTGTGTTACCATCGTTTGTTTGAACACTAGTCACAATATTGTTGTACATGTCCTTGATGAGGGTCATGTACTTTGATGGGACTTTATGTTTATCCAAAGACCATCACATAACATTTCTTGGTATATTGTCATAAGCCTTCTCCAAGTCAATGAAAACCAAGTGGAGGTATAGGCGACCATTTGCCAAACCTGCTGTCTTTAGATCCAATTGACAATCTTACTTTTCAAACTAACTCTTCTTCACAAAACCGTTTGTTCTTGACCTTTTTATTATAATGCCTTGCAACCCTTAATTTATTGGCCTCAATATTTTCAAGAGCGCACAATCGATGATAACTTAAGTTCTCCAAATCATCCATCATAAGGTTTTTATAGACTTCGGCTGTCAAATCATTTTGCAATGTAACACGTCTTGATCCAGCCTGAATCTCCCAAGGAAGAGCTGCATTATATCCATATACTAACTCATAAGGTGATGATTTAATCGATACATGGCAAGCCATCCTATATGCCCACAATGTTTTATTGGCGAGCAGCTATGCCCATGATAAGCGATAATTAGAGTAGTTGTGCTCAGCCAGTGACAGCAGTGGAACAAGGCGGATGTGCGAGCAACAATGGTTGTGTGCTAGATTTTTTTTCCCCGTCGCAACGCACGGACATATTTGCTAGTATTAATAAATCAGGAGACTTATATTCACCTTTTAAATTTATTAGAACAATTTACTGTTTTAAGTGTAAAATGTTGACCAAATTAAAAGCTTTAGTTTTCATTATCTTTAGTTATATAATAATAAACTTCAAAACAAGACTGGTGAGTGTCAGCTCATCTTGCTCGCCATCATGAGAAAATTGGCAGGGTGCATGCGGCTTGACAGATTCAACACGCATTACTATTATTCAATTTTTATTTTAATCTTTTTTTAAGTGAAGGGTTGTCACACCCAATTTTAAGGATAAAATTGAATGCATAAAACTCATGTGTGCCTAGGGATCAGTCCCACACATAAGTTGACAAATTACATAAAGTATCATCGCGGTGTTTCTTACATCACGATTAATACCATCACATAGTCTTACACAACACAACAGAAAATAAAAGAAAGTAAGCTCTCTCGCGGTAGCTCCAACACAGGGACGGTCAACTGGTTGACCACAAGCCTAAAAGTCCTTTGGAAACTCCTCATACTCATTGACATCTGTTACCTATCCGGGATTTTTATCCAAATATTAAAAGTAAACAAGCGTAAGTATTTCCCGTACTTAATAAGATAACATGGGGTTATAAAAGGTCAAAAAGGATGACTCTGATTTAGTGTGGTTAGCACTTTTAGTAAGTCAAGATTTTATCATCAACTATTATCAAGTTATGCTTAAGCCCAAATTAAACCCACATGATCAGGTATCATAATCAATTGAATCTTATTATCATCGTAGAACATCATAAATGAACAACAATAAATAACCAGTTATTCTGTGAGTTTTCCGGGCCGCTCGTGACCATGAGCAGGCTGTTATAACAGTTTGTAACACTCTGCAGAGGTTGTGCACATTCATCGTGAGTCGTGATTCCCATATGCCCGGGTTAATTACTCC